TTTGAGGAGGTAAAGAGCATCAGGAAGTAGACCTAAACTCTGTGTTCAAGGTGGATAAATGGATTAAGAAATGGAATAAATGGAGTGGTGACCCCAAGGCAAGATCCCACCTAGCTAAGTTTCCAACTTGTGAAAAGGAACTAAAGAAAGTTTAGAGCCAGATATGGTGGCCCACATCTTTAATACCAGCACTGGCAAGGCAGAAACTGATGGATCTCTGAGGCCAGCCTGGTCTACAGAGCAAGTTTCAGGATAGCCTCGTTTAGACAGTGGAGGATAGAAAGCTGATGAAGATGCAATTGAACAAGGGTGCCATGTCCAGGCCCAGTAAGCAGCATAAGTTGGCTGTTTTGGCCATGTGAGGTTATGGAATTTGCCTCCGTGCCTTAAAAAAAGCCACTGAGGCCAGGAGTGTGTCAGAGAGACCATTGCATGAAGCTGTAAAGTTGAAGCCTGGATTGCCTTTGGAAACTTCAAGATGTTAGAGATGCCAGAGGTAGGACACCTGCTGAGGAGAGCTGCTAACAGGGAGTGGAAACAGCCCAAGAGAGAGAAATGTGTTACAGTCAACAAAGCTGAATAAGTTGGAGATCTGAAGAGTGTTTTGACATCAGACATGGAGATGCAGAGTTTGGAGTTTGCCTTGCTGGTTTTTGGTCTTGCTTTGGTTCAGTATTTTACTGTGCTCCCTTCCCTATGTTTTGGAATGGTAACATATTCTGTGGCACAATATTTTGGAAGTATGTGATCTGTTTTTTTTTTATTTTAATTTTATAGGTGATTATAGTTAAGAGACTGCATGAATCTCAGAAGAGACATTGAACTTTTAAACATTGTTGAGACTGTGATAGACCATGGGGCCCTTTGAAGTTGTATTAAGTGAATTCTGCATTATGATATTGTCACAAGTTTATGGGGGCCAGGGACTGAAATGTGATAGCTTGAATGCAATTTTCCCCCACAATCTCATAAATAGTGGCACTATCAGGAGGTGTAACTTTGTTGGCTTTCCTGTTACCTGCAAGGTGTAGAACTCTCAGCTATTCCTCCAGCATGCCACCATGCTCCCTTTTATGATAATGGATTGAACCTCTGAAACTAAGCCACCACCTCAGTTAAATGCTTTCCTTTATAAGAGTTGCTATGGGATCAACATAGTAAAAATGGCAATCTTGTCAAAAGCAATGTACAGATTCAATGCAATCCCCATCAAAATCCCAACACAATTCTTCACAGACCTTGAAAGAACAATACTCAACTTTATATGGAGAAACAAAAGACCCAGGATAGCCAAAACAACCCTGTACAATAGGGGAACTTCTGGAGGCATCACCATTTCTGACTTCAAGCTCTATTATAGAGCCATAGTCCTGAAAACATGTTGGTATTGGCACAAAAATAGACAGGTAGACCAATGGAATTGAATTGAAAACCCTGATTATTAACCCACACACCTATGGACACCTGATTTTTGACAAAGAAGCTAAAGTTATCCAATGGAGTAAAGAAAGCATTTCAACAAATGGTGTTGGCATAACTGGATGCTGGCATATAAAAGACAGCAGATAAATTTATCACCATGCACAAAACTTAAGTCCAAATGAATCAAAGACTTCAACATAAATCTAGCTACACTGAACCTATTAGAGGAGAAAGTGGGAAGTACCCTTGAATGAATTGGTACTGGAGACTGCTTCCTGAACATAACATCAGTAGCACAGACACTGAGATCCACAATAAATGGGACCTCCTGAAACTGAGAAGCTTCTATAAGGCAAAGGACACAATCAGCAAGACAAAATGGCAGCCCGCAGAATGGGAAAAGATATTCAGCAACCCCACATCTGACAGAGGGCTGATCTCCAAAAT